AAACAAACAGGATAAAGGTGGACTCAAAGCACACCTTTGTCCAGGTAGATAGACCAAATTTAAGAGTAGACGGTTGAGTCAGGATGCATCTGCAGTTGGACTTTTTACAGCTACTTGTAAATGCAGTGTTTTTGGTAATCATGTCTTGCTCGCACAATTGCACATCTTTTTCTTAGGGAGTAGATTAACTCAAAACACGTCAATGGCCAGTACGGGGATCGAACCCGCGACCTTGGCGTTATTAGCACCACGCTCTAACCAACTGAGCTAACCGGCCACAATATAGGGTGTTTAATCCACCAAACTAGAAGCACTTTATCACCATTTTACACAACCACCAAAATGTAATGAGTTTATCTTTTGGAAGTACTACTCCCATACACAAAGTTTCATTTAGTTGGAGTCGTTTTTGCATTGTGTTGCTGGCAGACCAACAAACAAACAGGCAAAAGGTAGACTTGAAACACTCCTTTGTCCAGGTAGATGGATGAAGTTAACAACTAGATGGTTGAGTCAGGATGTGTCTGCAGTTGGAATTGTTACAAGTACTTGTAAATGTAGTGTTTTTTGTAATCATTCTGTCAAGGTATCAAGTGCACATCTTTTTCTTAGGGAGTAGATTAACTCAAAACATGTCAATGGCCCGTACGGGGATCGAACCCGCGACCTTGGCGTTATTAGCACCACGCTCTAACCAACTGAGCTAACCGGCCACATCAAGAGATGTTTAATCCACCAAACTCGATGCGCTGTAACAGTATTTTACACAAAGATTTAAATTTCCACCAAAATGTAAAGTGTTCACCTTTTGGTTGCACCAATCCTAGACATAAAGTTGTATACAATTCGGATGGGTCATTTTTGCCTAGTGTTGCTGGCAGACCTACAAACAAACGGGCAAAAGGTGGACTTAAAACACACCTTTGTCCAGGTAGATGGATGAAGTTAACGACTCAATGGTTGAGTCAGGATGTGTCTGTAGTTGGAATTATTACAGCTACTTGTAAATGCAGTGTTATTGGTAATCATCCTGCGAAGTCTTCGTCTATCTTTTTCCTTACGGACTAGTTAATTTAAAATTCTTTGGCCCGTACGGGGATCGAACCCGCGACCTTGGCGTTATTAGCACCACGCTCTAACCAACTGAGCTAACCGGCCACATTAAGAGCTGTTTAATCCACCAAACTTGATGCGCCGTAACAGTATTTTACACAGATTTAAATTTCCACCAAAATGTAAAGTGTTCATCTTTTGGCTGTACCAGTCCTATACATAAAGTTGTATACAATTCGGATTGGTGATTTTTGCATAGTGTTGCTGGCAGACCTACAAACAAACAGGCAAAAGGTAGGCTTAAAACACACCTTTGTCCAGGTAGATGGATGAAGTTCATGAGTACATGGTTGAGTCAGGATGTGTCTGTAGTTGGACTTGTTACAGCTACTTGTAAATGCAGTGTTATTGGTAATCATCCTGCCAAGTCGTTGTGTATCTTTTTCCTTACGGACTAGTTAACTCAAAACTCTTTGGCCCGTACGGGGATCGAACCCGCGACCTTGGCGTTATTAGCACCACGCTCTAACCAACTGAGCTAACCGGCCACATGAAAAAATGTTTAATCCACCAAACACGATGCGCCGTAACAGTATTTTACACAAAGATTTAAATTTCCACCAAAATGTAAAGTGTTCATCTTTTGGCTGTACCAATCCTAGACATAAAGTTGCATACAATTCGGATGGGTCATTTTTGCAAAGTGTTGCTGGCAGACCTACAAACAAACAGGCAGACTTAAAACACACCTTTGTCCAGGTAGACTGATGAAGTTAACGACTAGATGGTTGAGTCAGGATGTATCTGCAGTTGGAATTATTGCAGCTACTTGTAAATGCAGTGTTTTTGGTAATCATCCTGCCAAGTCTTTGTCTATCTTTTTTTTAGGGAGTAGATTAACTCAAAACACATCAATGGCCCGTACGGGGATCGAACCCGCGACCTTGGCGTTATTAGCACCACGCTCTAACCAACTGAGCTAACCGGCCCTGGTGTACCTCCCATAGCATGGCGATTGGGTCTCAAATCAAGGCTATAGTCATTATTAATTTTTAATTTCTGTATAGTATCTCCATAACAAGCAGGCTATAGTCAATAATACAATAAAGTGGAAGTGGATTCCAGGTAAAACTGTCTGTAGATATGATGCCAAACTCAATCTCTTTTATTGGGAGTAACATTGCTATCAAAATGCCAAACGGCCTTGAACTGTAATGAATAACACAAAAGACGCATCTTTTCCACACTGACAGCACCTCATAAGGCCTTTTTCTCTACATTCCTTTCTCTATTTAATTAGTCTTTTGTGTTTTTTCCTACTTTGTAAAGCGCAATGTAAGCATTATGTACTGTTATTATTATTTAAAACATGTATGTGCATGCGATTATTTCAATTTGTGTTGATGGAACGTAGCTCTGACGGGCAGCGTCTGCTAATACAATCCACCAGCTAATATAGTATTACCTTTAATTGTGAGGCTCATGCAGTGTGGAAACACAATCATAGAGGTGTTCTCCTCTCTTCAACGGAAAATAATTAGATTAGCCATCTCTAGAGGTGAAACTACAATTGCTGATGACATACATTATATGTTATATGTGCTCTTTATTCAGCTAGAGAGAAGTGTGTCGCTGTAAAACGCTGAATGAAATCGTCTAACCGGCCGTCCTCTCTCACCTGCTCACTTCCTCTCCTGCTGTCCATTGTGCAGTTTAACCGCTGTGTGACCTCCCAGATGATTAAATGGTTCAGTAACTTCAGAGAGTTCTTCTACATCCAGATGGAGCGCTTCGCACGCCAGGCTGTCCGAGAGGCCCTCACCCGGTGGGTTTGGCTTGGCATGTCCTTTTAGTGGCAAGACTTCCATTGTTTGACTGGGTTTTATAGGCGCTGGCATGGAATTTTTACTTTAGTTTAACATTCAGCTGCTGCGCGTATGTTTGGCCATTTGGAGAGAGAAAGAATTGCAAATTGCAGAATGACAAAACTTTGTTGAATCGTGCTCCAGAGTTAGCCAGCAGCTCGTAGCATCATCCAGTTCTGCTGTAATCAAAAAGCAACTGCTAGTATTTTACATGATATCTATAATTTTCTGTATTGCTAAATGCCACAACTCAGCTCTGATGTTCAATTACTGCATTTGAATGTATAGAAATTACATGAAGTGATGGATTCTCGCTGGATTTTCACAATTCAAATGAGTCCGTTTGTGTCTCAGGGACGGTGCGCCTCGTCTGGGCCGAGAGAGTCAGCTGCGAGTGGGCCGCGACACGGAGCTCTACCGCATACTGAACATGCACTACAACAAGAGCAACATCTACCAGGTGAGGAGAGCGTGCGGCGCGTCTGTTTAGCACCACAGCTCTCAGCCGGCTAATTGTGTAACGGTACACGGTCCTTGGGTGGGTGTTTTAATACAGCGCTGTCAGTGCACTGAAAGCGTGATGCAATTATCTTTTATGGGTTGGGGACCTTGAGTCTGATTGGCTCACAGCTTTCTGAGGAGCACCACAAGGTTGCATGTAGGTTTTGTCCTAAAAGATGTATACAGTGGAGAATAGTGTCGAAATGCGATATGCATCTCAGACTGCTCTCTACAATGATGTGGCCTTGGATGCTGAGCTGATATCAGGACCGACAATACAGCAGAAGTGGTCGTGTGTGGACACCGTTTTCTACACTGTAGTACAAAACTGAAGACATCAAAACTATGGATCTAGAGTTCTGTAGTAAGCAAAAAAAAACAAGTATTAAACTGAAAAATGTGTGAAATTTTGCATTCTTCAAAGTCGCCACCGTTTACTTTGATAACAGCTTTGCACACTGCTGGCATTTCCTCCGTCAGCTTCATGAGTTAGTCACCTGGAAGGCCTTTGAAGGAGTTCCCACATATGCTGAGCACTTGTTGGCTGCTTTGCCTTCAGTCTGCCGTCCAAATCATCCCAAATAGTCTCAGTTGGGTTTTATGTAGGGCGACTGTGGAAGCCAGATCCTACTAGTTTATAGTTAAAAAAAAAAAAGAAAAAGTAGGATACAGAGGCTCTGAAGTCAACTGGAATATAATTCTTGGGTCTGATTTGACCAAAACTGAACCGTACATAATCAAAAACGCAGCATGAAGCATGGTGGTGGCAGCATCATGACGTGGGGGCGGAGCTTAAAGTTGTGTTTTGGGTCACTGTCCAGTTGAAAAACAAATAATAGAGCTTGCTGCAGGATGCTACAGCAACAGTTTTGGTGCTGCCTCGACTTGTTGAACTCACGACTGCATTCATAGGAACTTTCAACCTTCTTGAAATAATCAAGACATCGCCCTTTTGTTTCTCTTAAATAGGATTACTACGTGTGCCGACATTACCTCGACACTCCGCGACTTACAGCTAATTTCATCACTTTGATGTCTCTCTTGAATGAGCAGCTGTGTCCAAATCTTTCTCTGATGTTGCATTTCTAAAAAAATTTTAACTACCACCAGGGCACGCATGGCAAATATTTTACTCAGTTTCTCAATTTATTTTCTTTTCATTGAAGGTACAAAAAAAGTTGTGTTTAATTTATTCTCCCAAGGTCTTAAATCATCACCATTTAGGAGCTAAACTGTTCTGAGATCTGCCTGGTTACTGTCGCTCAAATACTGTAATATGAAAAAACAAAACAAGTTCTTGGCAATTCGTGTCCCTGCATGTATGGAAATAGAGTTGCTATTGCATGTGCTTATTAACAATGTTGGGAACGATCTATAAATTCAAGGGCTTTGGCTTTTAAAGGGAAACTGCATGTGTAAGAGAAAATATATGTATATATATATGATATTGTTTCTACTATACAAATGAAAATTATACATTTCCAAGAGCAGGTGTTTTTACTTGCGCCGAATGAAGTGTGCTGTGGTTTTGCTTTTATTCAGTGCTGCTGCCTTTAGTGTGCATATAATAATATTTTTTTTCTAAGTGTGAGGTTGCGCAGAAGAAAGAAATGTGAAGTAGTGCATTGACCTGCTGAAGAGGGCACCGAGTGCTGTGTGAAAACAATCACCAACGACTGAGATTCATTGGGTTTATTTAGCGTTAAATTCAGCCGATGATGATTCTTTTTGTGCGGGGCTGTTCAGGGAAACTTTACCGCGGCCTTGGAAATACTAAAAATACTGTCGGCGTCTAACAAAATCTCTCGCAAAAAAGTCAAGGCGACGCTGAAATACTAAATCATCTCCGTGGTGGTTGAGAGCAAAGTCGCACGGCTGCTTTGTGAGTCTGAAAAGCCGCGTTTCACCAACATGTGGTGAGTTTATTAGCTGATTGAGCCTCGGCTCGAGTTAACGCCGTGAATAGATGATTTTTTTATTTCAACTATCACATATCAGAGGAGCGTGTAAGCCACGAGCGGCAGATCTGTGGTTTAAATCCCACCTTTTCTCTTTTCTCTGCCCTTCTCCCTTTAAAACAAAGCAAAAAAACCCCAAATAAATCTTAAAAATAATAACGACCTTCACGGGTTGCTGCTGTTGTGCTGCCTTTGCTTCCTTTGACACTCATCATTGCAGCAGATTGCCATTTTCGGTACAATAAAACTTGAGTGCGTTCTGCGAAACGACCAAACTCTGTGCAGCACAACGAACGGGAGAATTAGGGAAACACAAAAGACACAGGCTGAATATTCCCATCAAACAAAATGCGTTAAAAAAAACACCTGTGTGGGTGCACTGAATGGTAATTATAACGTGTATTGTAATGCGCCTCCTGTGAAGGCTGCCAAACTATTCACTGCTCAGAAATTCTTATTAAGAGATTTTTATTTTTTTTTTTAAATAATCAAAACTGAAGCAGAGCCACACATGCTGATGAAAGCTGTGTCCTCCTGGCTTTGACTAAACCTCACCCTCACAATAGCGGCACACCGGATGAAACGCTCTCACAGTGACACGTTGCTGAAAAGATCATTTCACCAGGTATAATTAAATTGCAGTTGCAGGTATGATTTCAACTGGTGGTTGGATATACGACTGAATCTATACTTGCTCCCTTCACAGGTTGTTAAGTTTGCGTAAAAGCGCTTTGTTTTTTTTGGCGTCTCTGCCCGCAGGTTCCAGAGAGGTTCATCGAGGTGTCCGAGGTGGCTCTGAGAGAGTTCTACTCCGCCATCTGGACCGGGAGGGACAGCGACCCCTGCTGGAAGAAAGGCATCTACAAAATCATCTGCAAACTGGACAGTCCTCTCCCGGATGCGTTCCGGCTGCCCGGCTGTCCGGTCGGCTGAACGGCTCACACACAAAAAAAAAATGCATGCGATTTTACTAAAAACAACAAAAAAACAAAACAGAAGGGAGATTTATCAAAGCATTCATCAACTGTGAGAACTGCTACGAGGTTCGCTTCTACAACCCCATTCACATCCGAGAGAGAAAAAATAAAACTCCTCCTGGCATACTGTGCAGAGGAAGACACATAACATACATGCTTAAACCGACACGCACTGGCGCTCCGTCATGGGAGTCCTGTGACCGGAACATTGAATTGCAAAACATTCCTCGGCAGTCAGTTGACTTGTGCTTTTTACAGGTTGAAAATAACGAGGTGCTGCAGCTACAGAGACTGTTTCTTTTTTTTTTGTTAACGACGTCACGGGAGTATGCATAGCTGCCGCCGCGTGGTTGTTGCATTTTGCAGATGAAAAAAAATATATGCATTCCCTGACAATCCCACCCTGTAAATTCCACCACATAAACGCTACTCTATGCATCCGCTCAGTGATTTAGATGTGCTGCCGGGCGCTCGCCGTGTAAATGTTTCCAAGACAAAGCCTGAGTGCACACCGAGTTTGCGAGGTCGCCCTTCGTCGCCTCCGAGCAAAAGAGCAGAAAAAAAATTCCAGCTTCCAACATTTTTTTTTTTTTTGGAAAAAGATAATCTTGCACAAACAACACAATGACACCCAAACATTTCAGTGCTGCTCCGGTGTTCATTGTCACACATTCAATATGATTGTTTGCTCGATATTACCTTTTATCGTTGCCTTGTGTGTGTGTGTGTGTGTGTGTGTGTGGGCTTCGGGATGCTTTTTTTTTTTTCTTTTTTAAAAAATTTCCTCCAACATCCAATCAGATTTTTTGCAACCAGGCTAGAAAATCTTGAACAAAAACAATCGTCCGTAGTGTATTTGTAAGATTTCTGGTCACGTATTTTCCAACCAGTGGGGTTCTTTTTTGCTCGTATATCCATCTCTCTGTTCGGTATTAAATTATTCTAGAGCTTTTTGTACATGACGGCACAATGTAATCAGAGTGTAACTACGGTTCTGTCAAGCGGGGCGGTATATTGAATTTAAATGTTTTGTTGTTGACGTACTCTTATTGTTGAAATGTTTTCTTTTTTAAACGTGAACTAAATAGGCCACATTTGTTTCCTCCAAAGAGGAAGCTTTCCACTCGATCTGCTGTATATCATCACCCTGAAGAAGAAGAAGAAGAAGAAGTTTCTGCTCATGAAAATGTTGGTCGACGTGTTTTTTGAAGTGCATGTTTCCTAGATTTGCTTTTTCTTTTTTTGCCTCTTTTATTTCATCTTTTCTATTGTACATATTCTTCTCTGTAGATCTGTGCCTCATTTACAACTTTGGTGAATTTTGATGTTTAAACTTATCAGCGAATTAAAGTGATGCCCAGGCTTGTGTCGTCGTGGTGGTGATGTCTGGATGCACATTCGCTCTCTTGTTTCTGGTAGCCGACACCAACGCTATCACACACTGAGCCTTTAATCTAACACAGTGACACACATGCCACGCTAATACTTAGATGGTGGGACTAAGTCTAACCACCTGAGACAGACTCGCAAACACACAATTTCTCTGGTATGCGTCCTTTTCTTGACTCAGACTGGACAAAGAGTCTTGTCACGTTGACCCTGGTTAAGTAAATGCTCCACATAGTAGCTTAAATTTCAAAATAAGAGGTTCAATCTCCCTTAAATTGCTTCTTTTTGGACAGACTTTCGTCCACATTTGAGAATTATTTTCAGTTTCAGGAGGACCCACTGCAAAAATATCCGTCTGTATTTTCTATATTTAGGACATTTGGAAGGAGCGGCGTTTCAAACTGTGACGATTTGTGAAGCAGAAAGTATCTGCAGGTTTTGGACTCGGCACTTGGATTCTGAAAGATCAGACACATTTGAGGAATAATCAGGCCAGATTTCAGCCAGTTAACAAAACATTCTTGCAGTTACTAGTTAATATTTGTACAGATTGGTTGTTAAGTTAAGCTCAGTTAATCAGCTGTATCAGAAAGTCTTAGATCTTTCTGAAGCAGATGTATTAATTTAGCACCTTTTCACACACAATCAAAATGCTTTATGAGCAACAATAAAAGAGTTAAGGCATGCAAATGTGTGTCTATACCGTTCACATTTTTTAAATCTGTGAGAAAACCGTTTGTTCATCTCCCAATTTTAACCCTGGAACTGTTTAAATCACATTTACAGATTCTATTAAGAGCAGATTGGCTCCAAAGGGAAACTCCAGCAGCTCTTCTTTTTTTTTTAGAAATGTTGTTTATCATATCACAAGTCCATATTGAAAGTAAAACCAAAAAAAGAATCTTGTTTCATTTAAACTTATTTGTTGAACTTGAATGATTCAGCCGTGGATGTGTGTCAGGGATGAGAGCGGCGGTGATTTCAGCCGTTCGTCATGTGTAAAAATGGTCATATGACAGAAGTCACAAGGTTTGATTAGAAGCAATCTGGGAAAGAACTTCCACTTGCAGTCATCCACACGCTGTCGGCCAAGTCTAATTCCTGGATGACATGCCTGTAAACCAGCTCAGCCTTTCACTAAGTCCGACCACCTGATGCTGCGTTTCACCGAAGCAACATGTACTTTTAATATCATTAAAAATCTAAACACAATAAGAGTATAAATACAAGATTTAGTGGAGAGTTTGCAGAGTTCAACAAGTGCAACCAGCTCTTCTCTCTCTGCTTCTAGTTCGTCTTTCTGGGGTTTCACTTGACTGCAGCTGCAGACCCGGAGAAAATCCATCTGTATGAACGGCAGTGTCCGAGTTCTCCAGCCCAGCAGTGTGACAAATACATGATTATTTACGCATTTGGATGTGGAGATGTGGTCAAAAGAAGCAGAAGCTCATTCTAACTACACACAGGAGGGGAACTGGAAGGCAGGATTGTCCCTTCAGGCAACTTGACTGTGAGTGAAGTAGATTTTTTTTATTTTTACTTTTTGTATTGGACAGAAATCGATCATTCTCACCTTCAAAATATAAGCGTGGTACTTAGTAGTGTCTAAAGAAGAGGCAGGGGAGTTGACAACCCCTCTGTGGGGGTTTTTAATGGTTGCATTTGGCTTCATTGAACGACTTTTGAATTGTGGTTTTACAACATGAAACAAAGCGTAAGTCTGTAAGGTTTTACTGAATTTCTGGAGGGTCTTGGAAGCCACAGTGTGCTGCTTGTTGTGGCTATTTTATCATTTATCCCCCCGGCATCGGATGAGCATTTGATAAGGCTACTGGAAACTCATTCAGTTTGATCCAACCCTTGGGGACATTTTTTTATTGTTTCACTTCATGGGGTCATAAAAGAACACGTAATTCCTCTAAAAATTCTGTAAGTCATGGTTTTCTTGTTTTTTTTTTTTTTTAAATTGCGTAGTTGCTTTATAGATATCTCGTAACCAATGACTGTTAAAGGGGGTTAAAAAAAAAAGGGCAAAATTCTTGATAATGTCCACATCAAACAGGATACATGACTGCAAAAAGTAATTTGTGATTTTGTGAAGCGTGACTGTATCAGTTTGAAATATATTTATTTTATATGTATTTGCTGTGTTTTTCATTTTACTGTTTTAATTTCTGTTTTCCACCAATTAATAGTTTTTTTGTTGTTGTTTTTTTTATGGCAGCCTGGTGGCGATGCAAAAAAAAGAAAAAGAAAAAAGTCTGTTAACCAGCAGCCACCATTTTAGCCTGACTAGCTGACTCGCTGTACCAAAGTTTTACGGCACTTGACTTACAACTTCACTTTTTTTACACCATCAAAGGCCGAAAAAGTGGCGCTTTAATGGTGCTCTAATTAAAAACCTGCCTTTTATGCCATCAAACTGTCTGCAAAAGCCAAAAAAAGTGCCGCTTTTTGAAAGTTTTACGCTGTCACAAGCTGAAAATTTGCAGATCTTATTTTAGCGGGAAAAATAGACTGCTAAAATATCATTTACTTTTTCAATCAGCGATGCTTCTAAACCCTTAAAATCAATCATACATCAGCCAGACACTTGTTATTGCTTGATGCGGTTTGAACTGACACTGGTTTGCTTTGTTTTTGCATTACACGCTTGTTATTCTCACAAATCAGTCGAGGCTGCAGCTTTATTTTGAAAAGCTTCCGGCAGCGCTGCGTCGCGTTACTGCCGCTGACTTGACGCTGCTGTGTGCGCAGACGGAACCGGGCCGCTGGATGATGGCGTTAACGGGGCTGCTGCTGCTGGAGCTCGGTCTGTACGCCTCCTGCTTCGTGTGCGGGATCGTCACGGCCGCATCCATCACCATCGTCCAGGTGACTCTAGACTCATTTAATATTTCACTAAGGAACTTCCGGGGAACCTTCAGGTAACCAAGGTCCAAAGATCCCAGAGGTTCCTGCTTTCTGTTTCGTCTTTAGGACAAACTGCAACTTTATTACAGCCGCTAAATTAATTGTCTTTATCAATTAATTTGCCTAAAGTATCAATAGACTTGTGTATTTAAAAAGAAAAAGAAAAAGAAAAAAGTTTTCCATATATTACTGGAGTTGTGTTTCTGTGTGTTGTTTTGTTGAACTTCACTAAATATCGATCATAGAGCGTCGCACAGACTTTTCCGTCAGTTTAAGCTGCAGGGCTTCTTCCGCCCTCATAGATCAAAATCAACATTTACTTTGAAGCTTTAACAACTTTCTCCTAATGCGCGGGCGTGCGAGAACGTGTGCGCGCACCAGCGCAGCTACTGTCCTCGTCATGTGACCCGGACCAGACGCTCCTCGTGCCCAATTATTCGCCCTGCTGCCTCTTTATAGGAGTCAGATGCTGCAGTTAATACACCAGTGTGTGTGTGTGCAGTTTGTGTGCTTCTGGTATGGAATGCAAAAAGTGCCATAATTCGCCTCGCTTTGCACTTCAAATTACAATGCTGCTTTTTATGTGGAACCCTGGAAGAGTTGTGCTTTATATAGCATTAGAATTACAGTGGCGCTTCTTATACCGTCAAGTCACGGTGCTCCAGTTACCACGCCAGGTTTTATGGTGTCAAAAACAAAAGAGTGCAGCTTTTTAAGGCATTTGAAACATGTCAAAGCTAAAAAACGTGCCTGATGTGCTTTAGTTAGCATTCTGTGTTTTATGGCACAGTCAGGGAAAACTTAATGCCGTTGTTTTATGCTGTCACGTTTTTAAAAAGTGACTTTTTTTTTTACAGTGGTCCAGTGACCATGCCCGGTTTATGGTGTCAAAAAGTGACAAAAGTGCAGCTTTTTATGGCATTTTGAACACATCAAAAGTCGAAAACTCCCTGATGTGCTCTAATTAGCGTGCTGTGTTTTATGGCACAATCTGAAAAAACGCCACTTAGTGCCGTTTTTAATGTCAAGTTTTTTTAAAGGTGTAGCTTGTTACAGCACTCTTATTGCAACTCAGTTTTTTATACCATCAAAGAACTAAAAAGCAGAGATTTTTATGACACTTTTTAGGACATTAAATTGCAACTCCAGTTTTACGCTGTCAAAAACCATAAATGCGCATCTTTTTCAACAGCCCTCGAATTACATTTGCACTTTTTGCACCATCAAACGCTGAAAAAACAGACTTCAAAAATGGTACTCTAACGAGACTGGTGCTTTTTACGCTGTCAAACCAAAAAATGCCCCATTTGTTACGCCAGAAAGTCAAATTCGACAATGATCAAATTACAAAACACCAGTTATTGTGCCAGCAAAAGAGTGGCAAGTCAAGTAACACTTTGTATGAACTCTCATCACAAGTCAGTTTTTTACGCCATCAAAAGCTGAGAAAGCAGCAACTTTTCCGGTACTCTATAATCAATCCTGGAAACTCATGGCTTTCTAGGGTGCTAGAATTTCCACAAATTTTTGTATTGTCAAAAAAAAGTGCCACTTTGTGATGGGACTCTTATTACAACTCCAGTTTTTAGGGAATCAAAATACAAAAAAAAAACTACAATGGCAACTCTGATTACAACAGCCCTTCTGCACTGACAAATGCTAAAAATCAACACTTATTATGCCGCTCTGGTGGGA